GCTGAACCTGGTCTACTGCTGTGCCTGCAAAGCACTTTGCTTCATTGCTGATCTCAATGCCTGATGATCAAATACTAAATTTCCACACCTTGAAAGGGACAAACAAATCCACAGCTCAGGGTCTAAGACCATTCTCCATTAATAGTACTTTAAGAAACAGCCACTAAAAAGAGATGATGAGGTGCACAGAGGCAATGGCAGAACAGTGTTGTACAGACACAAATGAGAAAGCATTTTGCCCCCTTTTAAATGGCCTGGTGACCACCACTACCACTCTTGTAAACTATTGTAAATGTGCACCTTAATAACACAATCCGGCACTACATATTTTCAGGAATTAATCTCATAGTCTGATACTTTGTGTCGTACAGTAGCAGGAAAGTCAAAGCAAAATGTATAAAGCTCCTTCCTGAAGTGTGTAGTCGTGGCTTGTGTTGATAGCAAAAATATTTGAATGAGCAACTTCAGGACTGCACACTCAAAGATTATAAAATATTTTAATAAACATGCCAGGTCTGATGAGAGAAAAGTGAAATACACAGTAATAGCATCTAAGTAATAGCATCTATTTATGAATCCAAATGACGACTTAAAAAAATTCCAAAATAGTTCCAATATGTTGCATTACTTGGGAGTAAACAAGAAAAGTAGGTCTGAATGAATATGATTAGATTGTGTATTTTGACCACCACTAAAGCATAAATCCATCCACAAGAGTTTCTAGGTTTGCAGGTTTCTGAAAAGAGAATTGGTTTTATTGTCTGCAGCAGCAAATTCCACAGACAACTGCTGTTCTGCTGTAGACTTCTGAAAGTAGGTATACACAGTTAAAATAAATAAGGAATAAAGTTTTAATTATCTAAAGGGAGATGTGCAGGGGTTGTTGAGCAAAACTTTTCTAGCCCTTTCAAACTGCTGAGTTCACATAGGTGTTAGATCAGCAACCTGCAAGAGAATAGATCTCAAAAACAAGATAAAAAGGCAATAGCAGCACAAGCTGTCTGAAGCAATACAGAGCCATCATTTAGAACAATAACATTTAGTTAGCCTCTATACCTGTTCAGTTTTCAGGCTCTCTGCTGGAACCAGCTATAGTCGTTATTTGGTCCCTCGGGACGAGACTAAGCCCACTATTCCGTTTCAGATGTATCACCAAATAGCAGTTACAGGGTATCTGCCATTGCATCAGATTACATGCAGTAACCCAGAAGTGAAAGGGTCCCTGTCTCTTAATATATTCCCTGCCCAATTGCTCAATATTTCTTTAAAATTAACACATAAAATGGGCGTAATGATATGACCAGTAATTCTAGCATTAGTAATATATGTGAGTCTCCTCAGCTGCGTACAGAAGACATGGCCTATAAATGACTGTGCATGTGTGTATATACACACATGCATACACGCATATATATTGCAGTTAACGTGGAGACAGACCTGCAAGCTGGATTGAGGGCTATCATCATTTTGCAGAACTTTGAGTGGGTAGAGCCAGTTTGCAAAATTCTGCTCACTCATTGAAGTACACGAAGTACTTTTTTTTTTGTTTAAGTTTGATAGATGTGTATGGTATTAATCGTAGTAACTGTCTGGGACAGTAGTTTTTGCGTAGGGGCTGGTAAATTTTCGTTAACAATTTGGCAAGGCTGGAACATATTCACAAGGAGTTTTATCATCTCTGACAAATATCTGGATACTATTTTTCATTTTAGAAGTAATCCAAGTATGATTCAAGTCAAAGCTACCAGCATAAGATAAGCATTGTCTACATGTTATTTAACTGTCTCAGAATGCCATGAAGGCAAGAATACAACAAAACAGAAACTGACTGCGTTGTTCCAGCATTTGGTTGCATGCAATGTACTGACCACAGCAGTAGAAGGTGTCCTTTCATGTGTTTTTTAGACTGACATACATCACTGCATTTATGGCATTTCGTGCTGCTGCTTTGCCTTTCACGTTAATGAGTGGTAGGCCACACAGTACCGCATGTGCTGTGCTCACTACAAGATGCTGCATTTTACTCTCCTCAGATGTACTGAACATTACAGTTTACTGCATCTGTGAAATTTGGGAAAACATGAAAAACAGGGACAAGAATTTTGTGTTTTACTTCCTTATGGCTTCCACCCAACACGTCTGTCTCAGGTAATGTCACACAAGCAAACAACTCAAACATAGAAGGAATGAAGATAAGCATGAAGCAAACTCTGTCTCTGAACTATGGGGAAAGTAGGAACTGAACCAATGATCTCCCCTGCTCATTCTTTGAGAGGAGAGGATGGGGCCAGACTCTTTTCAGAGGTGCCCAGTGACAGGACAAGGGGCAACGGGCACAAACTGGAACACGAGAAGTTCCATCTCAATATGAGGAAAAACTTCTTCACTTTGAGGGTGACCAAGCACTGGCACAGGCTGTCCAGAGAGGTTGTGGAGTCTCCTTCTCTGGAGATATTCAAAACCCGCCTGGACATGATCCTGTGCAACCTGCTCTAGGTGATCGTGCTCTAGCGGGGGGGTGGACTAGATGATCTCCAGAGGTCCCTTCCAACCCCTACCAATCTGTGATTCTGTGTGAGGATATATGAGCAGGGCAGCTATATCCATAAAACAGAGTGTCTTTCTTCCATGCCAGCCTGTCTGAAGCAACTCCTGATGAAAATCCCATACAATTCTTGGTCACTGTGTCAAGAGTGAAAAAGAAAAAGACTATTAGTTGTCCTTAGCTGCCACTCCACACTGGGGAGCAAAGCACGCATCAATGGCCCTTAGCAGTGTGATCTAAGAGCTCCAACTGAAGAACCTTTACTTCTGACAACTGAGATGGGGCTGCATGGCTCCTTCTCCTTGTCCAAGAGGTTGGGAGGGGTAGTGGAAGACAATCCCATCGCTAACTCAGGGGGAGTCCTCAGGAACTGAGCAAGCTGGAGCTCACTGATCTGCCTTTCTCTTGCATGCGTTACACACATGTAGAGAAGAATGGAGCCAACAACTTTGTGGCTGGGGACTGGTGTTTAAAGTGGTCTGAAAAATGCGGAGAGGTCTATCATCATCCTGTCCCCTGCCTAGCAGTTAATTCTGCCCCTGCCTCCTCTTAACTCCCCAATTAATCCTTTGGCCCTAGTTCCATTAACTCTGCCCCAATTCTTTTTGAAACTCTTAAAACTGTAAAAACAAGCAAGAAAGTAGGGAGAGCTACACAAGAGCTATGAGCTCCTGCAACCTTCTGGTGAGTAATACCATGGGAGGAATGACGTTTTACAAAAGTTCTCAGTCACATCTGTGTCCTGATGTATTTTAAGCCTTTCTTGTGGATCAAAACTCAGAAATTAGGCAGAAGGTGTATTTTGGATGAGGAATCAGACTGGACTGGGAGCAAACCACAACAAGGTTTGATTTTATGATAGCTCAGACACCTCATGAGTTATCCTTGATGAATAGAAGTTGTGTGAATTGCAGTACTGAGAGCACAGTGTGCCAAGACACACTGCTTCAGGGCTGTCAGTTCAATGCAGTGTTTTACTTATTCATTAGATCAGGCACTGAAGAACTGGGTATTATTATAACATCTTTAGGATCAAGACCACCTAGTTGTTTGTACCATGCATACTTCAGTGATTTGAGCCTCAAGGTGTACTGTTAAAGAAATGAGTAACGCAAGAGTCAGTATCACAATCGTGTTGATATGGAACACGTTGGAAGATGTTTATTTTCTACCCTTGACTAATGTCCCATGGTTCTTAATAATATTCCCCGTTGTCATCTTTGTGCTGGAAACGTAAGGACAAACCTTGTATGCACGTTATTTTTGTGTCTCCTGCCCAGCTCCAGTAAATGTCTCTGCTTTCCTTTCCTCACAGAGACTTTAATCTGCCTGCAAAAGGTAACAGAATGTCATTGCTGTGTTGCAGCCAGTTGAAATAGTCAGAACAATTCTTCAATAAATGCATCGAAAAGAGAGAAACAAGGTGTGGTTGGGTTGGCCCTCACTAGCAGCCAGTGTCCCACACAGCTGCTCACTCACCCACTGCCCTCCACTACCCACCCCACCGCCCCCCCTCCCCCCCAAGCAGGACAAGTGGAGAAAACAGGAAAAACAGGAAAGAAAAAGTTTGTGGGTGAAGATAAAGACAGGGAGATTGCTTACCAATTACTGATGCAGGCAAAACAGACTCAGGGGAATAAATTACCAATTATAATAAATCATTACTGATTTGGAGAGTGGGAAACAAAAACAAGAAAAAGAAAAATGAACATTCGCACACTTAGAAAAAAGACTTTTCCTCCACCTTTCCCAGGTTCAAGTTCACTCCAAGCACCTCTCCTGCCCTCCTTGTTCTCACCACAGATTACCCTCAGTCCCTTTGGTGAGTGAGGCACTGGGCAGCCCCTTCATCCTCCCCACTCTTCTCTGCTGCAGCATGGGTCCTCCACGGGCTGCAGGGAATATCTGCTACACCATAGAGCACATCCTCCTTCTCCTCCTCTTGCCTTGGTGTTCCCTCTATTGTTTTTCACTCTTTATTCCCTCCTCCTCTCTCTGGCTTTCTTTGCTCTTTCTTAAATGTTTCCCCAAGGTGCCACTATTGTGGCTGCTGGGCTGAGCTGTGCCCTGTGATGGCTCCGTTGGAGCTGGGTGGACCTGGCTGTGTCTGGCACGGGGCAGCCCCAGCCTTACCTCACAGAGGCCGCCCTGCAGCCCCCCTGCCTGCACCTTGCCCTTTATTCCCAATACGCAAGGTGTGACCTCCTCTGTACCAAAGTGGAGAGAAGCTGTCCCATCAAGAGCAGCAGTGGTCTTTTGTGGATATCTCACCCCAGGAGCAGAGTGATGAGATCACTGCAGAGAGCACAGCTGAGGACAACCACCAGAGGGTCATGATGGAAGAAGAGGAAACCACCAAAAGGCAGTGGGAACACTTGAGCTGTTGGGAGGGACTGGGCAGGGCAGGCAAATTTCCAGTGGTGGTGGAGAGCCATCTGCAACTGCAGCTGGTGGGAGAGACCTCTCAAACCACTCAGGACCTCTACTTTCTTATTCCG